AGCACATGGCACTGGAAATACGATCCATAAATCCCAGCAAGGATCGGGGCTCTCCAGAACACTTCACATCAGCTGCTGGCAACCAGGAGGGCTGGGAGGGCAAATCTGTCCCAGGGCGTTGAGAGATTCTGCCTCCCTCACCTGGGCAAGGCACAGGGAGGGCAAACAGCACGGCCTGTGCTGGAGCTCACTGTGAAAAATAAGATTATTTCACCACAAAAAAGGCAATTTCACAAAACCTAAGCCTTGTCTGTAGTTTCCTCTGCTTGATTTGACATCATCCCTTCCTTCCGAGGGATGTCACCCTGCTGACAAGACACAGCAGAACTGTGTGACACTCTCTGGGGGATTTGGGCACCAATTTCCCCTCCAGCTCCAGTTCCACGCTGACAATTCAGCTCAAAAACCTCGTCCTGTACCAAGACCTCTTTATAAATCACCAAACAAAGAAGGGAAAGCAGGAAACAAGACAAAAAAACCCCAAACCTGAGCTGATTTATCTGGTCTGTGGGAGTTGAACACGGCAGCTGTTTTATCAGCAGCAACACCTGCACACAATTTTGTCAGGGAACAAAACTGCACCCAGTGAATTGCCCTGCCTGACTGGGAAAGCTCCTTTACACCTTCCCCCTTGGAGTAATAATTTTAATTGTTTCAATTATTCCCATCTAATTGTCAAATATTTTGAAATTTAAGCCCAGCCTGAGGTCTGGATATTATTAAAAAAAAAAAAAAAAGGCAACAAACCAAACAGAGAGAGAAGAAAAAAAAAAGACAAAACCCAATAGCTGCACAGAATTAACAAGCTAAAAGAATTAATTGTAGCGTGGGGTTTTGAAGGCATCCAACATCCCCTCCTACTCTGTGCTGCTGATTTCAGGGATTTCCAGTGCTGGAAGGAAGATTTTCTTCAATGCACAGCAGTCTGCTTTCAATGGTCTATTTGTGCAGCATATTATTATTATTATTATTATTATTATTATTATTATTATTATTATTATTATTATTATTATTATTATTATTATTATTATTATTATATTTCAT